TATCTTACAGGTATTCTTTAAGTATTCTGGCTAAACTCCAGCACTATAGCGGTAAGGCAGGCTCTAGGGATGCCTTCAGAACCTATCAGTCTGCTCATTGAACAGATAAACATTAAAAGCTGTTGAGGTTTGGTTACAGTCCATCAGTGTGTTAGAAAATAAAAATTATCTCAGAGAATAAAAGCAAATGGAACCAAATAAGTATAATTTATTGTGCATTTGATAAATTGGCACCACCCTGAAGGGAATAGTGAGTGTGTCTTTACTCCATAAACCGTTAGGTGAGAGCCCATAGATCGGATCGTCACAAATTGGATTCATGCTTACATTTAATCATTACATCAAGTAAGCCAGGTGTGGACATTCTGAGCCCTTTTGCAAATTGTCCATTCTTCACTTCTTCCTGTAAAAATTTTATAGTCACTGTTTTTGCTGCTGGGCATGTCCCCGAATTTGTTGATTATCCAGAGCTAAGTGGATTAGACTTAAAATCTGTCCATTTAAAGCCAACAGTGGGTAGATCTGGGGGGAAAGCTACTGGTAATAATTAGAGACAGCTTCTAGATAGTTGGCACCAGGCCTTCCTGATTGCAGATTCTCTTAATTTTAAAAGAAGAGCAGGCTCTTGTTCTTCCCCCTCTTTAGGACCCTTCCTCTTCTGACCATGGTAGACTTTGTGCACATGCTGCCTTAGCACATTATTGCTTTACCTTATATTATCATGTTTGGTCTTTGGTTCTGCAGTACTCTGCCAATCTTTGCTGATTTTAGTGAAGCCTATTTTTTTAATTTAATACATTTTATTTATTTTTTTTATTTAATTTTTTTAATGTATTTTTTAATGTTTATTTTTGAGAGAGACAGAGACAGAGACAGAGTGCAAGCAGGGGAAGGGCAGAGAGAGAGGGAGACACAGAATCTGAAGCAGGCTTCAGGTTCCGAGCTGTCAGCACAGAGCCCAACACGGGGCTAGAACTCATGAACCAGAAGATTATAACCTGAACTGAAGTCGGACACGTAACCAACTGAGCCACTCAGGCGCCCCAATACACTTTATTTTTAGGAGCACTTTAAGGTTTACAGAAAAATTCAGTGGAAAATACAGAGTTCCTATGTACTCCTATAGGAGTTCCATGTACTCCTGTGTTCCTATGTACCCCTCACCTCCACAGTTTCCCCCATTAATAACACCTTGCATTTGGAGTTGTACGTTTGGTAAGGTTGGTGAACCTGTTATTGATACACTGGTACGTTATTGTTACTAACTAAAGTTGGCTATGAACTAAAGTCCATTATTAAAATTATTAACTGAAGCTTATATTAGGTTTGTTCTTGATGTCGTACAGTTCTGTGGCTTTTACTAAATGCATAGCATCATGTACCCATCGTTACAATATCATACAGAATCGTTTCCGCTTAACCCCAAAACCCCTGTGCTCCACCTGTTCATCCCTCCCCACTTCACCCTTTGCACTCTGGCAGCTGTTGGTCTTCCTGCTGCATCCATAGTTGTGTCTTTTCCAGAATGTCTTAGGGTTGGAATCATTACCGTACGTAGCCCTTTCAGACTGGTTTGTTTCACTTATGTGCATTTAAGGTTCTTCCATTTCTTTTTAAATTAATAGATTTAATTTTTTAAGAGTAGTTGTAGGTTTACAGGCAAACGGACTTGAAAGTACAGGAATTCTAGCACACCCCTTCTTCCCTTACCCCCTCCTCCTTGTTTCCTCTGTTACTTACATATCCTGTATTAATGTGATACGTTTGTTAAAATTGTAGAACCAATACTGATACATTATTATTATTGAATAAAGGCCATATTTTCCATTCGTGTTGAGTCTTTGCTTTGGACATTTTTTGGGGTTTTGGCTTACGTACAATGACATGTATCTACCATTTACTGTCCTAAAAATCTCTGGTGCTTTATCTTTTTCTCCCCCCAAAACCTCTGGCAACCACTCATCTTTTTAATGTCTCTGTAGTTTCACCTTTTCCAAGATGTCATCTAGTTGGAATTAAACAGTATATAGCTTTTTCAGACTGGCTCTTTCAAAAAAACAATGTGCTTTTAAGGTTCTTCCATGTCTTTTCATGGCCTGATAGCTCATTTCTTTTTATTGCTGAATAATCCATTGTTTGGATATACCACAGTTTGGTTATCCATTTGGCTAGGGAAGGGCATCTAATTGCTTCCAGGTATTGGCAGTTATGATAAAGCTGCTGCAAACACTCGTGCAGGTTTCTGTGTGGACTCGAGTTTTCAAGCCGTTTGGGTAAACAGTGAGGAATGTGATTATTGGATCATATGGTAAGACTGTGTTTCGCTTTGTGAGAAGCTGACAAACGGTCTTCAGATGTGGCTTTACCATTTCACATTCTCATCAGCAATGAATGAGGATTCCTGTTCCACGTCCTTCACAGCATTTGGTGTTGTCAGTGTTTTGGATTTTTGTCATTCTCATAGGTATATACCGACACGTCTTGTTTTAATTTGTAGTTTTCTAATGACATGATGTTGAGTATCTTGATAATGCTTATTTGCCATTTGTATATCTTCCTTGGTAAGGTATCTGTTCAGATCTCTTGCCCACGTTTTAATTGAGGTGTTTGGGTGTGTTTTTTGTTTTATTGTTGAGTTTTATTATTGACTTCTTTGCGTATTTTTTGGATGACGGTATTTTATCAGATCTGTGTTTTGCAAAGATTTTCTCCCTGCCTGTGGCTTGTCTTTTCACTTTCTTGATAGTGCCCTTTGAAGCACAAAAGATTTAAATTTTGATAAACTCTAATTTATATATGTTTTTCTTCTGTTGTTCTTGGTCTTGTCATATCTGAGAACTGACCGCTTTATTCAAAGTCATGAAGATTTGTGCCTATAATTTCTTCCAAGCGTGTTATAGTTTGGGCTCTTACATTTAGGTCTCTGGGCCATTTTGAATATTTGTATAGGGTGTGAAGTCTAAGCCCCACTTTATTCTTTTGCATGTGACTATCCAGTTGTGCTAGCACCATTTGTTGAAAAGACTATTCTTTCTTCATCAAGTTGTCTTTGTGGACCCTCTTTTCTATTCCATTGATCTGTATGCCTATACATAAGCAATACCACACTGTCTTTGTTACTATAGTTTCATAGTGAGTTTTGCAATTGGTAAATGTGAGTCTTCCAACTTTGTTATTTTTCAAGATTCTTTGGGTTATTCTGGGTCTCTTGCATTTCTGTGTCAAACGTTAGGATCAGCTTGCCAATTTCTGCAACAATAGGTTGGATTTTGATAGGGATTGCACTGAATTTATAGATTATTGTGGGAAGCATTACCATCTTAACGTTAAGTCTCCTGATCCATGAACACGAGATCTTCCATTTATTTAAGTCTTTACTTTCAGTGACATTTTGTAGTTTTCAGTGTATGTCGTATGCTTTTAATTACATTTATTCCTAAGAATTTTACTTTTTGATGCTGTTTTCGTAAGTTCGTGGAGCTGTTTTCTTAATTTCATTTTTAGCTCATTTATTGTTAGGATGTAGAGATACAGTTGAATTTTATATATTAATCTTCTATCCTGCAATTTTGCTGCACTCATTTATTATTAGTTCTAATGGTTTTGTGTGTGTGTGTGTGTGTGGTTTCCTTAGGATATTCTGTATGTAAGATCATGTCATCTGTGAAGAGACATAGTTGCACTTTTTTTTTTCCAGTCTGAGTTCCTGCTATTTCTGTTTCTTGTCAGATCACTTTGGCTAGAATCTCCAATACGATGTTGAATACCAATGACAAGAGTAGGTACTCTAGTGTTCCTAATCTGAGTGGGAAAGCATCCAGTCTTTCACCATTAAGTATGAAGGTGGAAGTGGGTCAGTGCCTTTTTAAGATAAATGATGAATTTCTTTCCCTGGTTATTTCCTTTGCACTTTCATCTTTCTGTTCAGTAACTCGTGAGTGATATTCTTTGATCACAGTGTGTGTGCCAGAACCAATCAAAAGCCCTAATTCAGATATAATTCAGATATAATTCAGCTTTTTAATAGATACCGTATATGCACTTTAAAATACATATAGAAAGGGGCGCCCGGGTGGCTCCGTTGGTTAGTGTCTGACTTCGGCTCAGGTCATGATCTCGCGGTCTGTGGGTTCGAGCCCCGCATCGGGCTCTGTGCTGACAGTTCGGAGCCTACAGCCTACTTCCGATTCTGTGTCTCCCTCTCTCTCTGTCCCTCCCTGGTCGGTCTCTCTCTCTCTCTCTCTCTCAAAAATGGACATTAAAAAAAATTTTTTTAATTTTTTTTTTTTTTAATGATTATTTAGTTTTGAGACAGAGAGAGACAGAGCATGAATGGGGGAGGGTCAGAGAGAGAGGGAGACACAGAATCTGAAGCAGGCTCCAGGCTCTGAGCTGTCAGCACAGAGCCCGACGCGGGGCTCAAACTCACTGACCGTGAGATTATGACCTGAGCCGAAGTCGGACACTTAACCGACTGAGCCACCCAGGCGCCCAAGAAAAAATTTTTTTTAAAGGTGCTCTTACAATAATCTCTTCCTTGGTGCCAGTTTTGTTTTTGTTCTTGCATTGTATCAGAATTTGAAAGCAGACCCACAGTGTCATCACTTGTTTGAACTTTTCTGTGACAGGTCTTTAAAGTTCTTTTAGATCTAGTGGCTTGAAGTAATCATTTTATTGTTAAGGCATAATATACTTAACATTCTGGCAAATGTATGAAATTTAAAGAAATCCACTAGTGACAAAAAAGTGGTCAACTTACTGTCCTTTTCCCAGCCCAACTTTATAAAAATAAAATATTACGGTATTGCTATATATTTGCTACTCATACCTAAAGTTTATACGACTGTAAGATCTTGGTTTTCCTCTCTCTTAGGCGTTTGTAAAATGTATGAAGAACATCTGAAGAGAATGAATCCCAACAGCCCCTCTATCACATATGATATCAGTCAGTTGTTTGATTTTATCGACGATCTGGCAGACCTCAGCTGTCTTGTGTAAGTATCGGCCACCATATCTCTTAAGTTGTATCTTTCTGTTGTTTATCCATTTGTTTGATTTTGGTATTGGGAGCTCGCTGTGTGCCTGGCACTGATCTTTGCATTTTGACTACCGTGTAGTAATATTTCATCTACGAATGGCTTGTAAGTAAAGTTGGTAACATAGAGCTAATGGCACTGGGAAAGTTAATAGTTTTGCTAATTGGTGGCCATCAATATGCAGAGAGAATGCTAAAGAAGAAGTTCAAAGTCCTTCAAAGTGCTTCTTTGTTTCTTGAAACAAATAGTCTTTTTTTAGTTTGTTTGTTTGTTTGTTTGTTTTTTCCCTTAAAGTCTTTGTCCTAAAGCAGTTGGCCTTGGCTAAGATGATGCTGTTTTCATGACAAAGGAAATGAGAGTACCTTATAATAAGATAATCTTCAGTCATCAGGTGCTTGAATATTTATTACATGCCAGATACTGTGCTAGAAGTAAATACGCTCTTGAAAAATATATAGGTCTTATTCACAGGGACTTCCTGGGATTCCTGGATTACCACTGGGGCCAGGCCAGGACTTGCTGTCTCACCAAAGATTCCTGTGGAAAATTCGCATTTCCTTGGAACATTTGAGTTTTATTTTGCTTCCTGAAAACAGTCCAGTGATTCAGGTCTGGTCTTTAGTGAAATGTATTAATAAGAAAGTTTTATTGTAACTATTTCAATATAAAAATCTCATATAAGAGGCCAACAGGACTGTAGGTATTCTTCTGTGTTGGCTTGTATTATCTATAGTTAATTTGCTTATAGTAGGACATACAGAAAAAGCAACACATAATCATTTAACAAACGGTTGAGTGCTGACTGTATACCATGCTTGTTCTAGGCATTGGGAATTGAGCAGTAAATAGAGATGGAAAGGATGCCTGTGAAGCTACAGAAGAGTGAGGCGGAGAGCACAGGACATGAAATTGCAGGGGCAGGAGGGTGGTGATGTCCTAGGAGCCAACTTGAAAGTATTTCATATTACTAATAGGCCAAATTTATGAGGACTGAGAATTGACCCCTGGTTCAGCAGTGGGAGTCTCTGATGACTTCCAAAGCAGTTCTGGAAGAGAGACAGGAGTGAAATCTTCACAGGTTTCAGGGAGTTGAAGGTAATGGGAAGCATAAAAGGCAGCCAACACAAATAACTTTTTTGAAGAATTTAGCTTGATAAGAAAGCAGAGAAATGGGATTATAGCTGGAAGAAGAAGTTTTTTGTTTTTTTTTTTTTAATTTTGTTTTTTTAAAGGGGGGAGAAATAATGGTAAGTTTGCAGGCTGTTGGGATGATCTAGTAGGGGGGAGAAATTGATGGCTTTAGATAGGATATCAGACATTCCACTAAATAGAGTAGGGAGGGCAGGCAGATGTGGAAAGCTTGGGGACATTACTGTGGTTGTTTTAGTTATCTCAGGAAAACAGGAAGGAATCATTTGAAATTAAGGATGAGCGGGAAGATGTTGGAGGTTTGTGAAAAGAGGTGCAAAATAATCTAGGAGGGTGAAGGGATTAGGGCAAGTTGTGATTTCTGAGGTACCTGATAATGAATTTAAGATGGAATTATTAGTCATTATGGTGTTCGTTTTTTTTCCTAGTCACTCTTAGCCTGGGTGGATTACAGGGGAGGCTCTACAGGTAGAGAATCAGCAAAGATTTTGCTATAAGTTTAGGGTGTATGTAAGGAAGTATCATGCAAGAGACTGAATGACTGTGAAACATAAGTGGGGGTTGGGGTGGGGTGGAGACAGAGGTAGGATCTGTTATAGGTCCCAGTGGGGTCATGGAGTTGTTGAAGTTGGGGTATTGGGAAGTAGTGCAAGAATGAGATGCTTGAATTTGGGAGACTGAAGGTGCTGGAAAGCTATCTGGCCAAGGGAGGGTGGGAGATGAGCTCTGGGAAGAGAGGAGTTCAAGGAACTAAGAGGCCCGATGTTGGCAGAATCATCTACTGGATGAAATCACCAATAATGTATACATTTACTTTGTAGACTTTGAGAGCAGGGAGGTTTGTTTTTGTTCACTGCTGTAGCCCCAGTGCCTTGAATAGTATTTGGCACATAGTTGGTACTGAGTAAATATCGGTTGTACAAATGCACGTCACCCTTATAATATGATTTGAGGTGTAGCTTTTTTAAATTATTGGTAATCTTCCTTTTTTCCCATTTACATTTACAGAGCTTCCCATTTACAGAGCTATCTTTGGAATTGATAGGATGGTCTCAATAAAAGTGAAAGAATCTAATGTGACTTCTCTTATGCTGAAGTTGTCTTACGTTTTGAGAAATCGTAAGGTTTTTATCTGATGAAAATATGGTGTTTTTAATACAGTTTTGTTCTAGGTGTGTTTGTTTTGGGACATTTTCACACTTGAGCTTGAACACTAGATGTTTCAGTTGGAACTTAAAGAATAGAGTTCACATGGGTGCCCTCACCTTGTTCTTCAAATGAACTACTGATTTTATTTTAAAAATGAATAGCTGTCTTATTTTATAACAACTACTTGTTGAGACATCAGGTACCTAATGCTGATGCTTTGGGATGTGGAACACATTCTCAGCAGATAGGGAGTTACTTAAAGCCAAGGATCATGTTTTACTCCCCTCAGGAGATTGTGGGTTAAGAGCTAGCTGGAGTTTTAGAACTAGACACAGCTGACTTTGAACCCTGGCTCTGTCATTAGCTAGCCACGCGGGGGGGGCCCCCCCCCAGGCAGATGAGCTTAATATTGCTAACCCTCAGTTTGCTTGTTTGTAAAATTTAGAGAAATCTACCCACAAGACTACTTGAGGGGATCTAATACTTGCTTAGCACGGTGGTATTGAGTATATAGCAGAAACTCCATTTTTAACTAGCTTGACCAAGTCAGGGCAGGGTTTTATTTTATGTTACAATGAGTAGGTGAATTCTTTAAAATTAGCTAAGAGTAAAATGATATGAGCTTCAAATTCCACATGGGAGTTAAACTATACTGTTAACTTAAAGAGGTGTTATGTTGGGTTTTTTGACTGTAAACTGTAGCTATTTAGGATTCGATCTCTAATGAAACTTTTTTGGTCTCTGAAAACTTACAAAAAAAATTTTGTTTAATGTGTATTTATTTTTGAGAGACAAAGAGACAGAGTGTGAGCAGGGGAGGGGCAGAGAGAGGGAGATACAGAGTCTGAAGCAGGCTCCAGGCTCCAACCTGTCACCACAGAGCCCGACTTGGGCTCTCGAGCTCATGACCTGAGCCGAAGTCGCATGCTTAACGGACTGAACCACCCAGGCGCCCCTCTGAAAACTCTCAGAGTCAACTTTAGGTTTTAAAACCATTTTCCCCATATGACTTTGTTATTTGAATATTCAGGAGAAATAAGGTGTTTTTCCAAAGAGGTCACCTATTGCCATGGTGCTTCCGATGGTAGCACATCCTGCTCCTTTCCTTAATCAGGGTTGTGACTTGGGCTGTTACTCCTCAGACCAGGAATTGAGTTCATTTTTGTAAATTGTTATGAGCTTATTGCTTCTATCAAATTTACATCGCAGCGACATAGGACTTTTTCTGATTTTTCTTGTTTAAACCATATAGGAGGAAATGAGCAATAAATAAGTTTGTGACATAATTAAACCCTTGGACAAACTGACTGCATTAATAGTAAAATTTAGGCCTGGAGGCTTGGTACTTCATATATTTGAAATCAGAATACAAATTTCTTTACAGTTTGGAGAGTGGTTAGGATTTTTTTAAATAAGCTTTTTAAGTTTAAATAATGGCCTTTTCAATATGCAGGCTCTCCTTGTTTGCCTAAAGACAAAGGGACGTCTTTTCATCCTCAGTTGTTGGAATGAAGACGTACTACTCCTAATTAAGGAGACAACCTGGTATCAGGACGCTGGCTAATTTCACTGCTCAGACCCATAGCTTCTGTTCTTGGATAAACCTGCATTCATAGAACATAACACAGAAGATTCATCTGTACCAAGAGCTAGGGATTTTATTAATGAATTTAACAGCTAATTGTCTGATTTCAAGTGCCAGTAAACAGCTGTCAACTCACAACTTGCCATAAAAAAAAGGCATTATTATTTCTTCAGTTGAAAAATGGCATGCAAGTTGATGGATTCCTAAATGTTCACAAACCAAAGTCGTCTTGCTGGGGGAGATGGTTTAAATAAGTCCCACCTGGATATAGTTCTGAAAAATTCGATTCCTTTTTTAGTTCTTTCCCAGTGTTGATGTAAATATTGTAGTCTGTTGTACCATACCCGAATTAGACTAGATTAACCCTTATTTAATTAGGAAGCATGAATAAAGAATAATCAAAGAAAATTGTTTAATTTTTTTTGAATATTTCTTGTAACAAAAGGACATTAATAAAAATGAAAAATGTCCTTTTTTTTTAAACGTTTTATTAAGGTAGAAGGTTTATGCATTTTTAATAAACCAGATTCTGACCTTACTATCCAGGGGAAGAATGTACTGTTATAAAACATTCTGACTTTGGAGTTTGTCTCTCTTGCTAAAAGTTGGAGCATAGGTTTCTAACTTAGTGTTTTCATAGTGAGGAGGACTCCTGTCCAAGAGTGTTTTAAGCTTCTACTACTTGCCCAAGTCACTTAACTAATAAGTTGCTCATTCTTTGCTTTTTCCTTATTAAAAAAAGGAGGGGAGGTGATAGTATCTACTCACAGGGTTGTAATTAAAATTGAGTGAGTTGATTCAAATAAGTACTTAAAGTAATACCCAGCAATTGGTAACTTCTTAATCGTTATTATCATTTGTATTTGTATATAATTTTTTGCTGAGAAGTTAAAAAATGAAACTTCTGGCTCAAATAAAACAATAATTGGTAAATTAGATAGTTTGTTTTTCTAAAGTATCCCTAAGGTTTGTTTTGTTGTTGTTGTTGGGTTTTTGTTGTTTTTTAGGCAAACTCCATCTTTGCCTCTCCGGAATCCCTTATAGTGTTTCTACCACGTGACGCACATGGCTTTGAAATGCTGAAGTGCTTTGTTTTTGTCCAATCTGTGGTTACTTCTTGTCTGCTTTTTTTATGCCCAGGCCTTAGTTTTTTAGCCCCAAAAATGATTGTATTGCTTACCCAGCTAGATTTCAGTGGTAGGTCACCTGGAATGTTTGTGCTATTGGAGTCTTCTAAGGATACCTCTAGTGATTGTCTATTAAGCGATACCTTGGCCTCAGAAACCCTGGCGTCCCACTGGAGTTTCTTTGCTAATGCCGATCCTTGCACTCCTAGCTGATAAGAAGCTCATTCACCTTCTAATAATTCTCCACCAGCCTCTAGTGTGATTTATTTTAAGAAGCAAATCCTGAAATATAGGTTAAAAGATTTTCCTCTCTTAATCCTTTACAAAGATTTTCAAAGATTTTTTTAGTTAATGGTAACGTATATAGCAAATCCCAAGTTTGTACCAGTGTTTGGTTTTTGTCTTATTTAATCACTAAAGAAACAATAAACCTTGTAACTCTATAGGAGAAAGAACACAGTTTCTGGTCATACTGTGTCAAGAAGTAGATGTGTAACACATCAAGCATTTAACTTAAGATTTCTAGACCTTGGTTTCTTTTTTCTGCTAGAAGATTGCACTAGGTGGTCTAACGTTCCTATCGCTTAAAATTCAGCATAATGTAAGCAGCTCTTTTATGTTTTCATTAAGTTCATGTATAAACATATACATGAGCTTAAACATATACATGGCACACCTGTGCCATCATTGGGCAATTATAATTTGGGGTTTTAAAAACACGATGATAATTGACCATTGTAACTTTGCTTATTACTTTTCTGTTCCTCAGTTACCGAGCTGATACCCAGACATACCAGCCATATAACAAAGACTGGATTAAAGAGAAGATCTATGTGCTCCTTCGTCGGCAGGCCCAGCAGGCCGGGAAATAGTTGAATTGGAAGCAGTAGGGGGATAGGGGTGGGCTTGGAACGCAGGTGTGTACAGCGTGCTGTAGTGGAAGTTTTGTATTATAGGAACCTGTTTCCATTTTGGTATACTCTAGCCAGGATTGAATGTATTAGATGAAATGTGACGATCTTGTTCAATCTGAAACCCCCATTGCCCCCTTCCCCCCCCCCCCTTTTTTTTTTACTTAAACATTTTTATGATAATTTAGATGGAAGTTGTTTGTCAGTTAATGTTGGTTCCAATCCTTCAAACTGTTCATATCTTCTTTATAACATTCACTATACTAACCCTTCTTCAGGTTGGGGTGGGGGGGTGGTGACAGTTTAGTTAAATGTCCTACAGATAAAGTCTTAGTGAAAAATGAATAAATGTTCTTTAGCTATATTTTCCCCTCGAGTGATTGTTTTTTTGGCGGGGGTGGGGGGTGGAGGGTCTCTGAACAATTGCGTTTTCTTGCAAAGCATTATCAGTCTCAAAGCCAGTAGGCTGCCACGCAGAGAATTTGAAGAAAGCTGATGTGTGTGTTGAATACATTTCACTGTGGTTTATATGAAGCTAACAAGCTTTTACCTCATTTTTCCATTCTTGTAAGTGAACCTCAAGTGCAACTCCCAGGTTTGTACTTGACATTGCTGCAAACATGATGAAAGATTTCCTGGTGACATAGCTTGTCTGAAGCAGCTGCCAGGTTAATTCCTTAGTTTTGGTCACGTACTCTCTGGGAGGATCTTGGAGAGACCACAGTAAAGGACAAGATAATTCTGTTTTTAATGAACTATGATCACATTGTGACTCAAACGTACGCTGTTCTGTACCTCCAGTCATCAAGTCCGTGTACATTCCCCGATTCTGCTATCTTCATACTTCACCGATAGCCAATATCTTGACACATTCTAAGATTGGCAGTCTTTTGGGAGGCTTTGTGACTGGCCTTCCCCATGTCCCCACTCCTACTTCTACATTAGAGCCTTAAATATTTTTCTTTATGCAGAACCAGATTCTGAATTAGTAGTTATATGTGCTCACTTTTTCTGTAGAATAAGGATTCTATTAGTGAAGTATCATCACTGTATCAAAGGATTATTAAAATTAGGGTGCCTTACCAAGTTATGTATAGCTATGGTTAATGTTTTACTGTGAATCAGCCAGATATTAAAATGAAAATGTTCTCACTGAAAAAGGAATAGATCCAAAAGTGAGTCCAATTGTCCTATTTTTCATTTGGGCCTATCCTGCTGCTAGTATAGTTTTATTTTTGTAACAGGTGTGATCTTGGCTTCCTTTTTTGAAAAAATTCTCTAGAGCACGTTTGGGAGGAATGGGACCCC